ATACAATGGTGGTACAGATATTGGGCAAACATTATCATTCCAAAAGGAAGAAATTGGCCAAAAGAAAGGCTGTAGAGGCCCTGCACAAGTCCGAAACCAGGTAGGGTAGTCATTAAATCTTAAAGGTCCAAGATATAATGTCTTTTGACTCCATGTCCTACATTTAGGGCACACTGGGATAAGAGCAGACTCCTACAGCCTTGAGCAGATCTGCCCCTGTGGCCTAGCAGGCTACAGCCCACATGGCTGCTCTCATGGGTGTAAGTTGAGTGCTTGTGGTTTTTCCAAGCAAAGGGTGCAAGCTGCCAGTGAATCTATTCTGGGTGCTGAAGGGTGGCAGCCCCCTTTCCGCAGCTCCAGTAGGTAGTGCCTTGGTGGAGACTGTGTGGGAGCTCCAACCCCACATTTTCCCTGGCATTTCCCTAGTAAAGCTTTTCCGTGGGGCCTCTGCCTCTGCAGTAGGCTTCTGCCTGAGCACCCAGGCTTTCCCATACATCCTCTGGAAGCTAGGTGGAAGCCACCAAGCCTTTTTCACACTTGCATTCTGAGCATCTGCAGACTTAACACCATATGGCAACCACCAAGGCTTATGGCTTGTGTCCTCCAGAACTGTGACCAGAGTGTACCTGGGCCCTTTAAGCTGAGGCTGAAGCCAGAGTCTGAAGCTCAGCAGGGCCTGGTACCTGAAAGCATTCTTTTCTCCTAAGCCTCTGGGCCTGTGATGAAAGGGGCTGTCCTCAAGATTTCTGAAATGCCTTTGAAGCCTTTTTCCCTTGTCTTGGATATTGGCTGCCTTTTAGTCATGCTAATCTCTCTAGCAAGTGATTGTTTCACAGCCTGCTTGGATTCTCTCTCTACCACAGAGCCAGGCTCCAAATTTTCCAAACTTTTACACTCTGCTTCTCTTTTAAATATAAGTTCCAATATTAAGTCACTTCTTTGCTCCCATATCTGATTTAGGTTGCTGGATGCAGCCAGGTCACCTCTTGAATGCTTTGCTGCTTAGAGATTTCTTCTACCAGGTATCCTGGGTCATCACTCTTAAATTCAAACTTCCACAGATCCCTAGAGCGTGAATACGGTACAACCAAGTTCTTTGTTAGGGCATAATAAGAGTGACCCTACTCCAGTTCCCAAAAACTTTCTCATTTCCATCTGTGACCTCATCAGCCTGAATTGCACTGTCCGTATCTGTATCAGTATTTTGGTCACAACCATTTAACCCCTCTCTAAGAAGTTCTAAACTTCCCTCAACTTCCTGTCTTTTTCTGAGTCCATTAAACTCTTCCAGCCTCTGCCAGTTACCCAGTTCCAAAGTCACTTCCACATTTTCAGGTATCTTTATAGCAATGCTCCAATTCCCAGTACCAATTTTCTGTGTGAGTCTGTTTTGCATTACTATAAATAAATGCCCAAGGATGGGTAACTTACAAAGAAAAAAGGGTTAGTTGGCTTATGGTTCTACAGGGAATACAGAAAGCATGGTGCTGGCATCTGCTGCTGGTGAGGCCTTAGGAGGATTACAACCATAGTGGAAGGTGAAGGAGGAGCCAGCATATGCCATAGCAACAGAGGAAGAAAGAGACAGAAGTGGGGGGTCCCAGAGTCTTTTAAATAACCAGATCTTGTATGCATTAACTGAGAGAAAAGTCACTCACCATCAAAGGGATAGCACCAAGCTACTCATGAGGGATCCACCCCCTGATCCAATACCTCCTACCAGGCCCCACCTCTGACACTGGGGATCACATTTTAGCATGAGACTTGGAGGAGACGGACATCAAATTATATCACCCAACACAAAATGAATTATTGTCTTAAAATTTTGTTAGTCATTCCCTTACTTTACTTTTCGATTGGACTCCTAGGTCTAAGTGTACGCATAGGCATGTATGCATAGGTATATATGCAATTTGCATATAGTCAATTTCTTCTTGTTTGGGGACTGTAAGTAAATATAATCATACATATGCATTCTTCCAAGACTTGCTCTTAGGTTCAGCATGATGTTTCTGAGGATTATCCACGCTGGTGCCAAGAGATGTTGATTCATTTTCATTGCTGTATAATATCCTATTGCATGAATATACGACAATCTATCATTTCTATTAGTTGGCAGTGATAAGTCATTAACAGAAATGATGGTTCATTTCTGTTAGGATTTCAGGAGTTAGGATTTCAGAGTTAGGATTTCAGGAAGACACAGTTGCCACCAAATTTATCCCTGTTTCATGCACAAACTACTAGAGCAGAGAAGTGAAGCTTTGCCTCAAGTTAGAAACAGGCTTTAGCTGAGGGACATTAAAGGAGGGAAGGGGCCTTAAATGGAAGAGGGAGAAAGGGCTAAAGTGACTCCCCAAGGTTGAAACATAAAAACAAAAAGAAAAAAGGAATCTCCCTGGACAGGCAATTTTTGCCTAGTCCAGCCTGTGCTGATTGCTGGCAAATTAAAGCTTTCGCGCTCACTGTCACTTCCCCTCCAGATAAACCCTTGGGGAAAGATTCTATATGAATACTTAATTTACAAAAGCATTCTTCCCCAGACCAGCAGATTGGGTTCCATGAAGGTTCATCACTTTGCTTGATCATGAAGAGAACTAAATTTCATATAGTGCTCATCTATCAGCTTCCCATTGAGGTATTTTTTATATTCACCTTTTTTTATTCCATATGGAACTTTGCAGCTAACACACAGTCATCAAATAGTAGTGTCCATGAACCTTTAGTAACCTTTGACTAGCTTCCCTGACTCTGAAATCCCCACCCACAGCTTCACTTGTAAAGAGTGGAAATATTTAGAGGAAGTGAGACTCTCAGCAGCCCAGCCTCACCATGGGAAACATTCTCCCCTCGAAGCAGAGTAGTAAGCTGGTGCCTCCTGTCACACTATCAGGATATGGCTTTAGCAAGTACAACATCCTCTCAGCACCTGTTCCTCCGGCAGGTGCTTTGCATCGCAGAATTGAATCGTTAAGGGGGTAATGCTCTTTGTCACTCCACCGGAGTGGAGAAGTTAAAGTCAAGAGTGTACTTCAGGGATTGTATCACTGGTTTGGCTTTAGTAGTTGTGAGGTCTGGATGGGTGAGAGTGATCTCTGGCAAATGACATGTATTGGTTGATACAATGAGGGAGCAAAGGAGTAAGGTGGGTGTATTAGGGTTTTCCAGACACACAGAACCAATAGAATATGTGTGTGTGCTCCATAACAGTGTGAACCAACTGCATGAAATAAACCTGTGTGTGTGTGTGTGTGTGTGTGTGTGTGTGTGTGTGTGTGTGTGTGTGTGTTTGATGGAGACTGGCAAGTCCAAAATCAGCAAGGCAGGCTGGCAGGCTGGAGATCAGGGACAAGCTGATGTTGCCACTTGAGTCCGAAGGCATTCTGCTGGCTGAATTCCTTCTTGCTCTGGGGAGTTCGCTCTTTTTTCTATTAAGGCCTTCAACTGATTGGAGGCTCACCTACGTTATGGAGGGTCATTTGTTTTACTCAAAGCCTACTGATTTAAATGGTACTCTTAGCTTTTAAAAAATATAGCTTCACAGTGACATCCAGAAAAATGTTTGATCGATATCTGAGTACCTTGGCCTAGCCAAGTTGACACATAAAATTAAACACCTCAGAGACTGTATCTCATTTTAGGAAATAACTTAGTAGTTACTAATATTTATTGAGCATCTGTTAAGGGCTCTGTTTGGGTCAGGCACCATATTAGGTGCTGGGGATTCAGCAGGAAAGCCAGCCAGACAAAATCCCCATTCTCAAGGAGCTTACATATTGGAGAGTGGGGGCCTGAGTAGTTAAAAACACTTGCCATAGTTTTCATGCCTTCAAGAAGCACTGCAGATACAACTGAAGTCAATCAAATCCAGTCTCCCATATACATATGGCTTTGGGATATAGTGAAAAGAGCAACAGAGATTCTGACTTCTTGGACTTCATCTTCTACTGAGGACCTCAGATCTAAATTGTATGATGACCGACTGTAGACACATTTTAACAGTTATATACAACATGTCATTCATTACATAGCTTTCAAAAGCACATACAGTTCAGTTATAAATGACAATGAAGATTAGCAAATTGCACACAAATGTATTTAAAATAAAGTCACCAGGGCATTTTGTACATAGTTATTTCAATTTCTTCATAAGTTTTTATTTTTTTATTTTTATGGCAAAACAGTTCAAAGAACCATTTAATGAAGGAATTTGATTTCAAAAGAAATGATTTGGGAAGACAGGACTGCTTGCTGATGCTTGTTTCTTTGTTGGCTTTAAGTAACTCGTTTACTTAATTGACCTCTTTCTTCATTGTGTTTTGGGTTTGTTTGTTTGTTTTTGTCTGAAGCAAAGACAAGCATTAGAAATAAAGACATTTATGTTGTTTAGAACTGAGACTCCATTTTAGAAAATGAATTGCAGTATCTATGCTAAACTGCTCTTACATGATATATGTGGCCATGGACAGAGGAGGGTCGCATTCTTTAATTCATGCCCTGAAAGAATGTCAGTCTTATTTCTCAAAAGAAAAAATACAAATGGCAAGTAGGTATATGAAAAGGTGCTCAACATCATTCTCATTAGAGAAATGCAAGTCAATACTACAATGAGTTATCATTTCACCCCATTAAAAAATGGCTTATATCCAAAAGTCAGGCAATAACAAATTCTGGTGAGGATGTGGAAAAAAGGAAACCCTCATACACTGTTGGTGGGAATGTAAATTAGTACAACCGCTATGGAGAACAGTTTGGAGGTTCCTCAAAAAACTAAAAATAAAACGGTCATATGATCCAGCAATCCCACTCATATATACCCAAAAGAAAGGAAATCAATATATTAAAGCGATTGCAGCACTATTCATAACTGCCAAGATTTGGAAGAAACCTAAGTGTCCATCAACAAATAAATGGATAAAGAAAATACGGTACATATATGCCATGGAGTGTATATGAGATTCAGTCATTTGCAACAATGGGGATGGAACTAGAGGCCATTATGTTAAGTAAAATAAGCCAGGCACAGAAGGACAAACTTCGCACGTTCTCACTTATTTGTGGGAGCTAAAAAATAAAATAATTGAGCTCATAAAGACAGAGTAGAAGGATGGTTATCAGAGGCTGAAAAGGGCATTGCAGGGAGGGGATTGTTGAGGGGGGAAGAGGGTTAATGGGTACAAATCATAGAAAGAATAAGACCTAGTATTTGCTAGCACGACAGGATGACTACGGTCGAAAATAATTTAATTGTACCTTTAAAAATAACTAAAAGATTATAACTGATTGTTTGAAATACAGAGGACAAATGCTTGAGGTGATGGAGACCCCATTTACCCTGATGTGATTATTATGCATTGCATACCTGTATCAAAACATCTCATATAACCCATAAATATATATACCTACTATGCATCCGCTAAAGTTTTTCTTAAAAGAAAGAAAGGATCAGCCTTTAAATAGAATATTTGCATGTCACAGACTAGGGGTAATAATCCAATTAAAGTTTTAGGTAAGGGTTGGAGGATACAGGGATGCATAGCGCACATAGATGTATCTCAAAGAGTGGAATTATTCTAAGAAAGCACTATCATGATTTCTCACCTGTTATCTACAGCCTTCAACCCACTACTCTCAAAAATCTTACATTTGAGTTGAAAAAGAACATATACATTTGTAAAATAAAAATTGCATTAAAAAAGTACCTAAATATGTTGCTAAGTGAAAGAAGCCGCTACGAAAAAGCTGCACATTGTATGATTCTAACTAGAACATTCTGGAAAATGTAAAATTATGGAGCCAGTAAAAAGATCGGGGGTTACCAGAGGCTTCAGGGAGGGAGGAGCTAAATGGGCTCTTTGATGTTCCCCCAAAAGGCCAAGAAAATGCCCAACACTGGACATTTGCACTGACAGTCCCTCTGCCTGGAAGGAGCTTCTGGGAGATCCCTGCAAGACTCCCTCCCCTTCGTCATTCAGCTCTAGGCCACAGGTCACCTTACCTGGCAGCCCTCCCTCACATGCCATGCAAAATGGCCACGGGGCCCCCTCTGTCACCTGTTACCTGTTCTCAACACCACCTGATGCAGTGCAGGCTGACGGACTGGCTCACAATCTGTTTCTTCCTCGGAAGTGTTGGCTCCGTGGGTGGGTACTGGACTTGGTTTTGCTCCCTGCTGTGTTCCTGGCACATGGGAGGTACTGGAGAAACATCTGCTGAAGGATTAAGTGGGTGAACCAGTGAGTGGATCGCCAGGTGAGCATGCAGGAAGGGTGGTACTAGGCAAGGAGAGAAGTGCTCTGTAAGTAGGGAAGCCTGCTTGGAAGTGAAGCTGGGATGGCCCTTGTAGAATGGGAAGGACATAGAAAAGCATGAGGAGGGCCAGGCACGGCAGCTCACACCTGTAATCCCAGCACTTTGGGAGGCTGAGGTGGGCAGATCACGTGGTCAAGAGATTGAGACCATCCTGGCCAACATGATGAAACCCCGTCTCTGCTAAAAATATAAAAATTAGCCGGCATGGTGGCTTGTTCTTGTAGTCCCAGGTACTCGGGAGGCCGAGGCAAGAGAATCGCTTGAACCTGGGAGGCAGAAGTTGCAGTGAGCCGAGATTGCGCCACTGCACTCCAGCCTGGCTACAGAGCAAGACTCCATGTCAAAAAAAAGAAAGAAAGAAAAAGAAAAGCATGAGGCAAGTGAGGGGAAGAAAGGGTGGCTTGAGCAGAGCTGTGTGCACGTAGAGGGTCTGTGAGGGGACTCTTTGGACTGGAACGCAGGTCTTGGGAGGACAGGGGTCCCTCTTGCACACCCCCCAAGTGGAGCAGGCCCGGCAGGCCAGAGCCCACCCACTCCAGCCGTGTGTGTGTGCTGCAGCCAAAGGCAGACTTTTCCTCAGGAAAGCAAATTTGGATCCGCTCCAGCATTTGAATAACAGCCTGATTGAAAAACAAAGCTCTCCTCAACATAGCAGAGCAAAGAATGGTTTTGGTCAGAGCATTTTTCAAAGACAATGTCACTCACTGCTTGCTTCAGCACAGGAAAACTTCAGCAGAGCTGCGTACAGTGTCTTACTCTGAGCAGGCCTGTGATTTGGGGGCTGGCCTTGTGGGTTCCTGCAAGCATCATTTAGCAAAGAGAGATGTGTCTGTTGCATCATTAAACAAAATGTTCCTCAGGGAAAAGACGCTTTGTACCTCACTTCACATCCCTAATGCTATTCCCTGAAAACCCAGTTAGAGAAGTGTTAGCCTCTCCTATGTTATACTTTCTATCTGCTGAGTAATTTCTTTCTTAATTGCACAGAAGAGCTGCTTGGCCCAACACTCCCTGTTTGAGTTCAACCTAGCACAGATTTCTTTCTTTTGAGGCTATGTGAAATGCAGTTGAGCATGATATTGAAAACATGAACACAATCCAAAAGTCCATCAGTAGGGTCCTTATTACCATTTGGCAGTCCACACTTCGGAATACTGTGCTACTGGTGAAAAAGAATAAAGAGGATATACACAAAGATGTGAACCAAATACAAAGCAGCAAATGCAAAAGAACATACAGTACAAGCCCGTTTTTATCTGTCTCCTTATAGAATAAAAGTCCAGCAAAATATAGAACCCCCAAATATTTTTAAATGTTTTGGGGTTGGTATTATAAAACAGGTTCACTTTCTGCAGCAGACATTGTCTGTCTTTGGATATATAAAAACAAGCCTATGTTGCTTTGTGATTGAAAACTTGTCCAGATTTTTTAAATCCTGTGTGTACACGTGCACAATCACTCATGCATGCTAGGTTGTGTGGTAGACAGGAGCAATGGTTGGAGAAATGGAGAGTTCCTAATAAAATTTAACAGTAGGGGCTGGGCACGGTGGCTCATGCCTATAATCCCAGTACTTTGGGAGGCCAAGACGGGCAGATCATGAGGTCAGGATCGAGACCATCCTGGCCAATATGGTGAAACCCCATCTCTACCAAAAATACAAAAATTAGCTGGGCGTGGTGGCATGTGCCTTTATTCCCAGCTACTTGGGACCTGAGGCAGGAGAATCACTTGAACCCAGGAGACAGAGGGTGTAGTGAGCAGAGATCATGCCACTGCACTCCAGACTGGTGACAGAGACTCCATCTCAAAAACAGAAATTAACAGCAGGAATGTGTTTTTACAACTATCTTACTTAAAAATAATAATTCTTCTCCCCTCATCAGGATTATCTTTTGATCATTTTTTGTTTTGACTTGTTTTCTTGTTTTGTTAATTTGTTAATAAATAATTGACAAAAATAAACAGCAAAGCAAAAAAAAAAAAGTTCTAAGCAATATAAGAAGCACTAATGGGTATACTCTCTAAGAAGGTTCTTTCTCTGCAGCATGGGAACAGTCCTAAAGCAACTATCAAACAACACAAGTTGGGGAAATGATCATCAGGGTTCAGGAAATGAGCAGATTCAAGAAGGCTGAAGTGCTTACAAGCCAACTGCCTGAGCTTAAATCCCACCTCTGCCACCCACCTGCCATGTACTATTGAGCAAGTTACTTTACTTTTCTGTTTCTCAGAATAAGAGCCCCACCTCACTCGTGGTTTTGAAGGTTTTATGAGTCAATGGATGATTTTTGAGTGTTACAAGAGTCAATACACACACAGCACCTAAAGTGGTATCTGACACATTAAGTGCTAATACATATTAGCTAGTGAAAGGAAGAGGAGGAGAGGGAATGAGATTTCATAAAAGAGAAGGGGTCTAAAGAAAGAGTAGGGTTCATCAGAGGCAAAGAATTCCAGAAGAGAAAAGCAAGAAAAAAATAAAACACAAAGGCTTATAGGATACATGAAATGATCCAGTTAAATTCAGCCCAACCACTGCAAAGAGAGCCAAAATGACATTTCATGACTAGATAGATGATAAACAAGAGCAGATAGGTACAAGCACTCAAATGAGATAGAAGGAGGATTTTCTAAAGCTAACTTTCCTTTATTATTCTGTAGACCCATCTGTGTGTCAGTCATCAGTCAACAAATTTGTATGCAGTCCACACATACGTGTGCCAGGAACTGGCTGGGAACAAAGATCCACACTGGTGGCAGCGCCCCCACCAGCATGGGACTTTTTGCAAGTGGGTTTAAAGTTGGGAAAGCATGGGGATCATTCGTTTTATTGTGTGTTGATTAGTAGCGCATCAAGAGATGTGGTGGTGTGCCTCATTCAGGAATAGAAGAAAGATGCATTTACTCTTAAAATACAAACAATTGATTTTTCTGTGCTAATGAAGAACCACAGGAATAAATATAGTTGATAGGTTAAATTATGCTTCTTTTATTTTATCTGTAAATTAAGCAAATCTTCGTTGTTTTGCCATTTTGAACCTTTTCTCCACCTGTTTGGGTTTCTGGTTACCCCTGCCCCAGCCTGGTGTCTTCTTCCCAACTTGCAAATACCCATCAGGGCCCAAGAGCGAGGGAAGAAGCCACTGAGGGCCAGGCTGTGCACAGTAGATTCCAAGCAGGCCCTCGGCAATTGAGTTGCTTGACCTTGGCAAACACAGGACCAGCCTCACCCACGAAAACACATGTGACTAGGTCCCTGAGACTGACACTTACAAGGAGGCCAGAATTTCATAGCTCTGCAGGACTTACTTGCAAGGGGTGCTGTGTAGAAGGTGCCAAAATGGCTCGTAGCTAGGTTTAAGAAATTACAGTCCCTAGTTGGTTCAAAGGGATGCTATTCACTCCTGGAATAGTGGGGACTTTGGTCTCCAAGGAAGAGTTAAACATCAGACAGGAACCACTACAAAAATTTCCACTGAAAAATAAGTTCCTTGTAAGAGAAGTTGAGAGACGTGCTAATTGCAGGTTACTGTAAACCTAATGGCAGTCTGTTTCTCTTGCAAAGAAAGCGCAGGACGTGTGAATGATGGTGAGGGGAGTGGGGACTCTTGGCTGGTAGATCTGACTGGTAGACGCAGTCGGTCCTCTAACGATCCATTTTGGAGTGAACTGCATTGGGAGGTTGGCCAAATTTCCTTTCTTCAGGATTCTTACCAACAGTAAAGATTGATAAAACACATTGCTGCTGTGTTTTTCAAAAGTTCGGCCATATAATAACTTTAACAGACTGCCTAAATTTCAAACATTTCCTTGATGTAGGATGATCACAATAGAAAGGAATGTTATTCTTATCCAACCATCGGTAAGGTTTTGTCTTCCTTTCCCAGAAACTAAATCACTGACTACCTCAGAGGCTCTGACCTAAATCTTAATTGGTGCCCACTGCCGTTTTAGACCGCTGTGTGGGATTTTAACCAGACAAACCCAAGAGGAAGGATTAAAGTTGCTACAATGAAGAAAGGCTAATATTTCGACCAATCATAGAATCCATTGCAATGCCCTTTCCATTTTTAAATGAGCTTTATAAGGCTCTCCTCTCAAGGTAAGCCTCCTTTCTTATGTTCTGTTCAGCAAAAAAATAGTCTAGGTTTTCTTTTTAATGTTTGATTTGCCTCTTCAATCTTGGTGCTAGGTAACATCATTGGATCAAAATATTAACAACCAAGATTTAGATATTATTTTACAATTAGCTGAGCACTTTGACTCATATCATCTTATTTCACTTTCACCGTGGTCCTGGGGCGTGTTTATTCTGTCTCCCACTCTGCAGATAGTGAAACTGAGGAGACTGTGGCGGGAAAGATGAGGCAACTCACGTGAAGTTGGGCAACTGGTCTGATGACACAGCTCGGGCTGAAACCTGGGTCTCCTAGGTCATTTGCTTAGAGCTCATTCGATGACGAGGCGACTCCTTGCTGTGCATTCTTGCAGCATACGCCTTTGGTGTGAAGACACTGGTTTCCATCAGACTAAAACGCATCTTACTTCAAGACAGGCAGTTCCTGTTTTGGTTTCCACCTCTCACACATTGCTTTTAAAGTGCTAACTCTTAATGGCTATCCCAAGAGAAAATCTACTGCAAGTATGAAGTGACCCTTTGGTACAACCAGTTTTTCATCCCAAATCCCTTTTTTCTTTATTTCTTTCCTTCCTTTCTTCCTTTCTTCCTTCCTTTTCTTTCTTTCTTTCTTTTTTTTTTCTTTCTTTCTTTCTTTCTTTCTCTTTCTTTCTTTCTTTCTTTCTCTTTCTTTCTTTCTTTCCTTTCTGTCTTCTTTCTTTCTTTCTCTTTCTCTCTCTCTTTGTCCCTCCCTTCCCCCTTCCTCCCTCCCTCTCTCCCTCCCTCCCTCTCTCTTTCTTTCTTTTTTTTCTTTTCTTTCACAGTGTCTCTGGCTCTGTCCCCCAGGCTGGAGTATAGTAGCGCAATCTCAGCTCACAGCAGCCTCTGCCTCCTGGGCTCAAGCGATTCTCCAGCCTCAGCCTCCCAAGTAGTTGGGTTTACAGGCGCATGCCACCATACTCACCTAATTTTTGTGTTTTTAATAGAGACAGGGTTTCACTGTGTTGGCCAGGCTGGTCTCGAATTCCTGGGCTCAAAGCGATCCGCCCGCCTAGCCCTCCCAAAGTGCTGGGATTACAGGCATGAGCCAATCATTGCATCCGGCCCCATTTTTTTCTTTCTTCTTTTTCTTGGCATTTGTTATGATCAAGCTTTTGTTTTTAAGTACCAAATATCCTTGGACTCCTTCCAGTTTAACGTCAAAATGTGCTTGCAGGGAAGGATTTGGTCTCATTGATTTCAATTAATGTAACTCCAAGCCACTACTCTTCTGCTATTTACATTTTAATCTACATTTCTTACTATAAATAAGACGCTTTGCTTCTCTACTGAAGAGGAATTTCAAGGAGTGTAGGGTGAAGATGAGGTTTATAAATCAATGATATCTTTCTTTAGTCCCTTCTCCCAAATTCTACACGTAGACATGCTGTGCCTTGGCCAACTTATCTCTAACTAGGACATTCAGATCTACCAACTAAGCTATGACTTATTATGGGCAGGCAGTCAGCAGGAAGAGCTGTTTTTCTTTGAAAGCAGGACAAGAATAGGTCTATGGAATGCTGGGGTCACTTGGTTTACTCAATGGAAAGAAACGGGATGTTTCTGCATTAACTAGAACATTTGAAAGGTAGGGAGGGGTGAGGGTGGTTGAGAAATAATGATTCAACAAACAGAATA